CTCATGCCACCGCCCTTTTCTTGTTATGTTCCATGTGAAAAGAGGTTGACAATTGGTTGCTAAGAGAAAACTTATACTTGTGTGCAAGTGTGTAAGATAATCAAATCTTGTCTGCTTTGCAGGAATCAACAGAACTGCATTGCGTGAAATCAAGCTTTTGCAAGAGCTGAGGCATCCAAACATTATTGGGGTGAAAGAGTTTTAAAATATTTCCACTCAGCTATTTAGATATATTAAATGCTATATATTAAATACTCTCTCAGCGGTTTTTGTGCACAACATAAAATTTTGACAGTGCTGTTTTCAAGTAGTTCTGTTTTGTTCAGTGCTTTATGTTGTCCATCAAGATACAGACTTGTGATCAATGATGACTTGCAGTCTTTTTAGTCCAGCAGTTTCTTCCTCGCCCATGTTCTGTGTAGGGTCTGTTGTTAACATCAAACAGTATTTTAATCTCCTTGTTGTATCTTCACAGCTTCTTGACGTATTTGGTCACAAGTCCAACATCAGTCTTGTATTTGACTTCATGGAAACAGATCTTGAGGTAATGCAGTATCAACCCTTTCTCTCCCAAGATCTCAAGAGTAATTCTCCCTACTGTTTGCTGCGCAATTTTTATGATGTTAGTTCAGAGAATTTTGTGTTGGATCAACTGATAATCCCTGAATTGATATGTTTCTTTATTCTCTTTACTTGTCTGCTTGATACTGTATTGATATTGTAAGGAGAAATTCCGTCTTGATCGCTCATAGGAGTTTAAGAGTTAAAGCGATAACATATCAGCTTTCCTTTATTTTTTACCTAATTTGTAGTTTTGGTAAGGATATCATAGCAAATGAAAAAAAAAGTGACAATTAATTTTTAACTTAAAATGCTTTAATTAATTACTATAATTGTTACAGGTTATAATAAAAGATACAAGTATTGTGCTTAGCCCTGCAAACATTAAGAGTTACATCATAATGACATTGCAAGGTTTGGAATACCTTCACATGAACTGGATCCTTCATAGGGTAAGTAAAGAAAGGAATAGTTTATTTTAATGAAAAATGAACTGCATGAACTAGCAACAGCCTAAAAGTGTTTGGCAATTCATCATTTTCTGAGTAGACAGCTGAGTACAGCTGACCCCTTTCATATTTTTGCCTCAACTTTACGACTACTTCTTAATCATTTTAATTTGTGTTGTTTATCCTCAGGATATGAAACCAAATAATTTGTTGATTGATGATAAAGGAGTTTTGAAGATTGGTGATTTTGGACTTGCAAGATCTTTTGGAAGTCCTACAAAGGTGTATACTCATCAAGTGGTGACAAGGTTAAATTTGTTGAATCATTTTTGTTTCATAAATGTTTTGCTTAAGATCTCAAAAATCCAACAATACAACTATTTTTGCAATCTTGACTTTTGATGTAGAACTCCACAAAGGGATTGCAGTGGCTTTGGTGATTCATTCTTTTCATATTTTGCTACAGATGGTACCGTCCTCCTGAGCTTTTGTTTGGAGCAAGAATCTATGGTACAGGTGTTGATATGTGGGCTGTTGGTTGCATTTTAGCAGAGCTTCTGCTACGGGTGAGTGAATTTTTGTAGAGGACAACAAATTTTTATTTATCAATTTGAAAAGGCAAGCTATAAAGTGTAGAATGATTTCCTTCTGTTTTGCTCATGGAAATTCTAACAAATTTTTTCTTTCTCTCTCATAGGTTCCCTTTTTACCAGGTAGTTCTGATTTAGATCAACTTACCAAAATATTTGAAACTCTTGGTACTCCATCAGAAGATTCCTGGCCAGTGAGTAACACTCAGATCCATTTAAGTGGCAAGGTGTTGACCCAATGCCATCTAAATTTTTTTTGAATGTTGAATAATCTCTTATTTCATATCTACCCAAGGGTGTCACATCTTTGCCAGACTATGTGGAGTTTAAGAAATTCCCAGGGATTCCTTTAAAAGACATATTTTCTGCTGCTGGTGATGACCTTTTGGACATGCTTGACAGACTTCTGGATTGTAATCCTGCTGGCAGAGTAAATGCAACTCAAGTAAAGTATACAAGAAACTTTTTAAATCCACTCTGTAAGAAACTAAACTGAGAACATTGATTTGGCTGGTATTGACCTGTACACAATGATGAATGATCAAACTGCAAACAACTTGGTTGAGATTAAGGTCCTTTTGCTATCGTGTTTTTGATTATACACCACTCTGACTAATGCCTCAGTCACCAGGAAGGAAGGGTGACGTAAATGATCAGGGGCAGGTCTAGGGGGAGGGTGCAGGGGGTGCACACCCCCCCCCTCTTGAGATGACCAGGGGCCTTCTAATACAAGTGGTATCCTGCTATTACAATTTGTTTACGTCAGGTCACCAGTCAGTTACACCATTCTTTAGTGGTGCACCCCCTCCTCAAAAAAATCCTGGATCCCACCCTGTTGATGGCCATGAGGAGGGGGGGAGGGGGGTTGGTGAACTGGTATCTCAAGATGTAGCTGGCAAGGCCTGAGTGTAAAGGAATTGCCCCTTTTTTTCTTCCTCTGGTATGAAAAAGTAGTCAAATTATAATTTTAAGACATCTTGCATGCTTTTAAGAACCATAAGAAAGTGGTGATAATTAGCCATCCTGTTCAGAATTCCTGCCCACTCTTGAGTTCACATCAGAAGAAGCAAGACCCTGATGGACTCAGCTAGATGACCACTTAGCCTGTGGATAAACTTTGACCTCAAACTTCTTAAAAAGAATCATCGATACCATTTTTGTTTTCAGGCTCTGAAGATGCCATACTGTTCTAACAAACCTGTCCCCACCCCTGGCCACCTACTGCCACGCCCTAAAATATCAGCACTTGGGGCGAGTAAAAAAGAGGAGGAGAATTCATTGAAAAGAAAAATGCTTGATTCAATGGCTGATTCAGGTGATATTGATGAAAATTTTAGCTAACTAGTTTATGTTATATGATATTCTCCAATGTGTTCTTGGATTATTTCACCTTAGACCAGACAAGTGAAGGCTGGTTTCTCCCTGATTGCCGAGATTTTCATATTATTTGATTTTAAGCTTCTTTTGTTTACTTAACGTAAAATGAGAAATTCCTATAAAACCTTTTGTTGATCCAGGACTTTGACCAATTTGAAACGAGCTGCAAAATTGTGCCAGTAAAAAGATGCCATAGTCTTCTAACCATCTCGGAAAAGTACTCTAAGTAATTAACTAGCAGTCTTTTATAAACTGACCCCGTTATTTTTTCTCTTCTATTTTTCAGGTTCTATCAGAGCAAAGAAGCTGGTATTTTAGTGCATTTTTTTCCTAAGTTGTACGAACCACGCTCCAGCAAGACAAACTCTCGCTTAAGGATTTTTTCTTTGTGTGTTATTCGACACAAATCGGACATCAACCATGCTATGACCATCGGGCAGGGGTTCTTTCAGTTCAGGATGGCTTTCAAAAGAGCAAGTTGCGGTAGAGCAAGTTGAACGACAATCATAGCGAGCGTGGAGTAATGTCCTATAAACCGAAGTTTTGGAGGTAAAAAGTTGACAGTTGCGAGAGCCAAGCGGAACTGTCGTTAACTACCTAATTCACGAACAAGTGCCATTGTTGCGAACAAATGCCATTGGAACAAACGAACAAATGCCATTGGAAAGTGCCATTGTTCCTTTGCTGTGGTAGTGCCAGTCTCTCGCCAGCGCGTATTTGAAGTGAGAAACAACAGGGAAGGGGTCAGCCCAAAATTGTTGAGAGTGGCATTACGTTCACCCGAAAAGTGGTCATCTGTTTAGAAAAGGGGTGCATATTATCGCCAAAGCTTAACAGAGAGATGAAGCTCTCGTATTGCTTTTGAAACTGAGAAGTGCCCGCTGTATGTTGATGCAAGGAGTGGTACTCATAACTGTACATTCCGTAGATGAATAAACTCGTAGACGTTTTATAAAGAAAAAGAAAAACATCCTAGTCGCTGAAGGGAGTAATTCTCTCAGTTTTTTACATTGTAAAGATCATCAATTTGTGAAGATCGAAAATGGTGGTCACTGCAAATCAAGGTTTCCATAGACGCAGTTTATAAAATTGTTATTCAAAGAAAGTAATAACATCACTTGCCAATAAACCTTGTGTTTCCTGTCATAAACACTTGTCATATCTTCCTATCCCAAACCTATTCCTCGTTTGGAATATTTTGCAGTGGCAAGTTCTTACTCGACAATTCCAATCCCGTCCCCAGAAAAAGTCGCCGGTTTTACTACAGTATTTGAATACGGGTGAACTACGACCAGGCCTTTTTCTTCTCTTTCGTGGTGGGAGATTGAGGGAAGGAAGTGAGGAAATCCGTGCAGCACTCTGCTGAGCTATGCGGAAACTGGGGCGAGAATGGAATTCTTAATTCAGCGAGAACAACGAACTGTGAGTAAGGTAACATCGTCTGGAAAGCAAATGCAATTGATACAGTTTGGTCGTCACTATTCTGGGAATGAGTGGCAAGTAGGACAGCTTTTCTCTCACGACGTATAACTTGAATGGAATGCTAAGTAGAAATCGATTAGGATCTCGCTCAAAAATACTTCTATGATTGATTTCGGGAGGGAAACATGGATTCAATTTTACTTGAAAGATTACTCTTGAGTGGTCCGGCCTTAAGTGTCGGTTTCGTACCGGGAGAAGACTATAGAATCAGGCCGTTGAGACTCAGTTAAGGGCGAGCACGACCGCTTAATAGAGGTGACCGCTAAATATAGATGAAAATTGCAGTATCTAACGGGAAAAAATTCCGGACTTTGACAACCGACCACTTAATAGAGAGTAACCGCTTAACACACTGCTGCCAAATACAGGTTCGACTGTAGGTGGACCAACCTCACCCTCAAAACGATTGAGTACTAATAGGAAAGTCCTTAAGTAAAAAATAATTCGAGAAAGCTAGAAAAATGAATTACGTTATTTTGTTTTTACTTACCACCGTGACTGTCGCTCAGTTCGACCTGCATCATGTTCCATTCGCTCGAGCAACTGACGTGTACATCTACGTCGCACCATTTATGAAGTGAATTAATGAAGCAATTAAATTTCAAGAAAGAGCTTCCGAAACATGAAGCGATGCAGGTGTGACAAGTACTTTAGGTGAGTGACTGGTTGGAGACAGCAAATCAGAGGAAAGGTGACGAGGAAAATTTTTTAGTACTGTTCCCTTGGTTTTTTAGAGCACTAAATACCCTCTGCACTGTTGTTTCCTTCTCGTGCGTTTCCCTTTAGTGTACTGTCTGACATGGCTTCAGTTGTAAAATCGCCGTCTTCGCACTCAACTCAAACTTCTTCGACCAGAGATCTACTGACGCGCACTACAAGGAAGATGTCTCTTGCTAAAGAAAAAGACGATTTGAGAAGTTTAAATGACCGTTTTGCGGCTTACATAGAAAAAGTTAGGAATCTGGAAGAGGAAAACAAAAAGCTTAAAAATAAGGCATGGTGAGTAATAAGATTAGGGTAACAGAGAGAGGGTAGACTACTTACTTCTTTAAAGCTCGGGTTTTTTTCTTCGCTTTTTGAAATTTTAGCTCCCAAACTCAAACATTTTATGGTACGTAGCAGTCGTTTCGGTCTCATCTTAGCGAAGTAGATGAAAAAGTGTAAAAACAGCAGGAGTCGAACGAGAACAAACAATAACATAAGAATTAACAACAACAATGATGATGATAATAATAATGGGATTTATCAGTGGACATTCTAAGAGGTGGTTCTCCTTGGCCGCTGTTTCCAGGTCGAATTGGTATTTAGAATGTTGGCTTTTGGGGTGAGCGGCTAGGGGGAAGACAGAAGACAGAGTTTCATTGTTGTGCTTTTTCTGATCGTATAAATCACACGATTTTTACAGAGTGGAGAGCCATTCGAATGAATTTTTTACTTCTTCGAGAATGCCATGAACTAGAACAAAAGTCGTGGACAAGGCTTTTTCTTTTCCATGCTAATTCGCCTGCAGTTTTTTTTTTTTTTTAGTCAATGTTTCCAATATGCTCAATATGACTCGTTTTGGCAAAAACTCAGTAAAGTATATACGTACTTGGCGGCTATTACTTGGAACAATATCTCTGATTCTTTGAGGTCCATAAGCACCTTGTCAACCTTTAAAAAAGCGGTCCGACAGTTAAGATTTTAGCTAATTCTCAATATTATCTTTTTAGTAATTATCTAGTCAGTAATTAAATTTTATTTTTTTAGTAATTTAAATTTAATTCACGGTAATTGAACATTATCTATTTAGTAATTAAGCATTTTATTGCAAAAATAGCTGTGTCATGTTATTTCAGGATCTACTCTGTCATAAGTTTTTAAGGTTTGTTTTCTCGGCTTATTAGCATACTTACCTTGCTAGGGGTCTAACCAACCCCATCAACCCGAGATTAAATAAAGTTTCATTCATTCATTCATTCATTCATTCATTCATTCATTCATTCATTCATTCATTCATTCATTCATTCATTCATTCATTCATTCATTCATTCATTCATTCCCATTCCCATACCGAATTAACCGATGGGCTTGACCTTATCGTCGCCTGGGTAACCTGTGCGTCATCTAAATGTTCTCTTCGGCAAAAATTTCCATGACTCTGAAGACGCTTTCGGGGAAGGAGAATTCAAAATGAATTAGAGAATACTTACATTTTGCTGAAGTGATGTTTTTCTGAAAGTGCGAAAAGTGAAATGATTGTTCGTAGATGAAGTTGCCCTCGTGTTAGCGTGCGACCAGGGGAGTTCGAGTCGAAAATGAAAAAGATTATTTATCAATTTAATTCAAGTTACCATCTGATGTCATAGATATCTGTATGTAAGTGAAATTATTTAATGCTGCTTTATGTTCTCTGATAAGTATTTTAGCAACACTACCTCAGTGCATTCTACGAGCGAGATCGAAATCAAACCACGGAATGTACTATTTCCATATACCGTGACCACTATTACAAGAGTCACGCCTCAATTTCAACCAATCGTTTAGTTGCTTTGAAAGAATAGTTCAAAGAACGCACTGTCTTATTGGTCAAATCTAGTCACATGTCAGTAGTGAACCGCCAAAACTTGAGCAGAATTTAGTGCGGTTCTATAAGTCCTAACTTCTAAACGAACTTTGTTTTGCACTACTTCGAGTTTAGTTTACTTTCCAAAATGGCTGCAACAGCAACATCACCTCGCACTCCGGCGTCTTCAGGAAGGCTCGAGGCTGCCTCCCCGACGAAGATGACCCGACTTCAAGAGAAAGAAGAACTTCAACACTTGAACGATCGCCTCGCCGTTTACATAGACAGAGTCAAATTCTTGGAGGAGACGAACAGCAAGTTGACAGCAGAAATTTCTATGATGACGAGCACTAAACAGTCTGAGGTTGACAGCGTGAGGAACTCACTAGAAGCAGAGCTGAGAGATGTGAGGAGGCTATTGGACGAGATCGCAAAGGACAAGGCACGCGAGCAGATCGAGAACAAGAAGAACGCTGCACTGGCAGATGAATTCAAGAAGAAGTAAGTTAATCTTATATTCTTAAACCCCTTGGGAATGCTATCTGTTATTAATAGCAATTATTTTCCTTCAAAAATAACCGAGTTTTCGCTGGTAGTGATCTAGATCAATGGTTTTCCCGGGTCGCATCTGGCGTATGAATTGATTACAATCGCGCTCTCGAACGTCACAGCCTGCACGTGGAAGCTAATGAAATGAGCTTGATCGCACCCTTCATCTAATATGGTTGGTTCGGTCATGTACTTCACTTGCACTGTTAAATAACCGAGACTGAGGTCAAACCGAAACTAGAGTCGATGTTCATTTCTTTACCCCCATGATGTAGATTTAATTAATTGATTAGAGAGAACGAACTCAATTCATTCGAACGTTTGCACTAATATTTTCGTGATTATTCTGGAGAGACATCTAAGATACTTTCTAGACTGCATTGTGTAATGGGTGTTTCCCTGGGTAGCGTCGCATGAAAAGTTATTGTTATCAATGTAAACCACGTAGATCAGTTACTGAGCGGTTATTTTGAGATGAGAGCATTTTGTTATATATATCATACTTGAGACAGCAGTAAGGTTGACTGGTCACGAGTAAGTTACTTAAATATTTTGATGTAAATCGAAGCCTAAACTTGTTTTACTTAACTGTATGAAACAAAATCTTTGTTCAGTATGTTAATTTTCTCATTGTCTTGCCTTATGTTGATTTGAACTTCTGTAAGGCTCTGATGCACTCCAGTTCCTGCTAAATGTTAGCAAACTTGAGAGTATTTGCTAAACAGAAGGGGTGGCATATTCCTGTAAGGATTGTGCAAATTTCTTGAAAGTATTCAAAATCTTCAAGAAATTGCAATGACATGGGCTTTTTTTGAAAGCACATGAAGGGTTTGTGTTTATTAATAGCAGACAGATGTTTGTAGCTGTCTTTTGTGTTCAGTGTTACACTGTCCACTGACTTTTTGTTGGTCATATTCAAAGGTTTGAGAAAGAAGCTGCAGCTCACAACAAGAGTGAAGATGCCTTAAAAGCAGCTCAGAGAAAGTTGTCTGACCGAGAAGCACAACTAGAAACAGTAAATCAAGAGGCCAAGAATTTGGAAGGGGTTATTCTGGAGCTAAGGAAAGAGTTCCAAGAACTAAAGGATGCTTTGGAATCGGCTAAATATGCTCTTGAGCAGGAGACTTTGTCAAGAGTAGACCTTGAGAACAAACTCCAGTCTAAGGAAGAAGAACTTAATTTCAAGAAAGAGATGTACAATAAGGTAAAAGTTTCTGAAGACCTTTTTAAAATTTTTTGTTCAAAATTAGAAATCCCTTCTCATTTATTTATAATCAAGGAAATTATTTTTAACTGCCATGTAATTAAACCTTGCAACCTTTAAGCATGTAGTTTCCAAGAGAGAAATTGAGAGTAAAGTAAATGATCACCAACTAAATAGGTTCTGTTAAACACATTTGCCTTGTCAATACCATAGGAAGTGGTTTCTAGCAGTCTGAAGAATATGCCTACAGGTATTTGGATATAAAGGTTATTAATGAATGGCTTTTTTGACTTTGAGTCAGACTTGTCATTGCATATCAAATCCAAATAAACATTCTGCATTGGGAATGGGAAGTAAGTTTAAGAAGCAAAAAAATCATAGATTTTTGTCTGAATAAAAACTCTCTAATCTAAACTTTTGAAATAAAATTCTAACTGAGGCAATGATAAAAAAAAGATTGACAAAATCATAACTACATTCTCCTGATGAAATTTTGACTTACACTCCTGTGCTTATCAGTTTGTCTCTGATATCAGATGATAAATCCAGTATTAGAAGAATTTAAATAAGTAATTTAAGTACAGGGAAACTTGAATTAGTTCTATTGCAAAAGTTTAATCATGTTTTTCAACTTTGTTGGTCATTGTTGTAAGTGTTTGCTAGTACCAAAACTTGTAGTGATAGAAAAAGGTTGAGGGCAGCATTTGTTAAGATATCATAAAAATTCTACTTTTTCTCTAAAAATAAAATAGAATTAACTAGGAATCATTTCTTTGTTTTCTCAGGAAATAATTGAGATCCGTTCTCAGTTACAAAGTGTGGAGTCGCAGCACATCAAAATAGAAGCTGAAGCAAAGAACAGATATGAAGGAATCTTGTCTGAAAAGCTTCATGAACTGAGGGAAATGTTCGATAGTGAGGCCAGGCAATATAGAGATGAAACTGATGGTCTTTATGGTGCTAAGGTAGAGATCTGTATTGATGAATGTTAAGCCCTTTTGTCTAAGATAGAAAGCAAAAAGGAAGTTAAATTCAACCACAGTTGTTGGTAAATTAAAAATACCCGGTTCAAATTGTTCACTGCACCATTAAAACATTGTTTCTTTACTTGGTTACAATGTCAATGGTGTGTTTGCTTAACGCAGTAAAGATACCAAGTTTTTTTAACCCTGTCACTCCAATGAATGAGCAGAAAAGAAAAATACAATATCGGGGATTAATAGTTGATCCATTACCAAATTCTCCAAAGGAACATCATAAGAAATGTATGACAGGCAGAGAGGAGAATCACTAAATGAGATCTTGGAGCGAAAGTGTTGAACTCGAAACTTCCAAATATTTTCATGGTATCTATTTATGTAGTCAGAGCTGATACTGAGAGCCTTCAGTCCACCTTAATTACCAGCCAATCTGCCATCTTTAGCTGGCTTTTTCCACCCTGTTTTCTGTACATTCTTACTAAAAACTAGTACAATTGTTCAAAACACCATCACAGCAAATTTGCACAGCAGCCATTTTCTACGTTTTAGTAGAAGTGGATGCATCATTTGTCAGTAAAACCGATAGTTTGAACATCTGGAACTTTTTGCCAAATAGTTCCCACCCTCATTTTTAATCTGGTGAAACAACATGGTATCCATTATAACCTGACGACTTAATTTTTCTGATCTGCCATCTACTTTCAAGCTTATTTACAGTCCTTTTAATAAGTGACAATATGTCATCTGTTTGCTCTCAGCCAGACCCAGTGCTTCATTTAGTGCCAAGCAGGTTGAGTAGTTTGTGTACAGAAGTTTATAACTGAATAAATAAGGTTTGTGTTGTACTGAAAATGGAATCTTCTCATGATTTATACAATAAGTACTTTTATTTTGTTTTAGTATGATGAACTCCAGAGGATGAATGCTAAGGAAGTGGAAGAGTTGACACTGATCAGAGAAGAAAAAAGAAATTTGTCAATCACTATTGAAAATATCAAGTCAGAATTAAACCAGTTGCAGTCCAAGGTATATACATGTTGAACATTAATAATGGCTATTTTATTGTTTATTTATAGATTTACTCAGGCTAATGGTGTGTCTCAGAACTGGTGTTTTTGAAAGATGAATTAGACTCTATTGGCAAGGAAGTTGCACTCTAGAATTAACAGTTGCTAACGTTTTTAAAACCTACAGAATTCAAGCTTGTTACAAAGAATCGAAGACCTAGAAAGTTTGCGCGCTAGTGACCAAAAGATAGCTGATGAGGCAATAGCAAACAGAGATGCACAACTCAAAGAACTTCGCAAGAGAATCGATACTCAACTCAGAGAATATGAGGATCTTATGGGAGTGAAGACTGCTCTTGACCTGGAGATTTTAACTTACAGAAAGATGTTAGAAGGAGAGGAGTCAAGGTGGAGTAACAACATGTGTTATTTCTAAAATAGTGATAACTGTATCATGCTTACACTGGCTCACAATAAATTTTGCTTCTTGGATTGTGGCCTGAGATTACTTTAGTACCTTGTGATGAACACTTTTTAGGTGATGCATGCACAATTGTTCCCATCAAAACATAACTTCAAAGTTAGAAAGTTTGATTAAACTCCTTTCTTTCCTAAGTATCAGTGACCACCACAATATAACAAGTAAACAAATTGAAATAAAATCTAGTTATGAACATTTGTTTTCCATGTTCTTCTTCAATGTCCTGTACTGGCCATTTTTAAAACATTGAGCTTGGTAGCCTTGTTGTGAAGGGATTGCAAAAAAAAAACTGGGAACAAAACCAGATTTCTCTTTGAGTCGGCTCAGTTCTAATCCATCGCTTCCTAAACCACCACCCTGGGGTTGTTTCTAAGTGTCAGTAGCTGATTAAATAGAATAGCAAGAGACTAAAATGTAATTTTTTAACAGTAATAGTTATCTTTCAGGTTGAATATAACTCCTCCTGCTTCCCCAGTCTTTGGAGCTTCTGCTAAAACTGGCAGACGTGCTGCAAAACGAATCCGTACAGAGGAAGAGACCATAGGAACTAGGTATTCAAACCAAGGCTATATTCAGATAAAAGAGGCAAGTGCAGATGGTACCTTTGTCAAGCTGTTCAACAGTGGAGCCAATGTGAGTCTTTCAACTGATTCTTGATAAAGCTGATGAGTTTTTGTGGATGGTTTTTGTTTTTGCACTGAATATTGGAAATGTTAATTTTTTTTAAACTTAGTTTAGGAGTTCACCTTGAATGTAAAATTTTAGTGAGAGAAAGTCATTCGCCTTTGGTTGTTTGATTCTTCCTTTCTTTCTCCCATTCTTGCATTTTATTTGTGGATTCCTTACATTTGTTTTGGGTTATCAAAGGGCAGATTACTAGGTCTTTGGATGAGTTTTTGTATAATTGTGATCATTGTTATTTACATGCTACATCTTTTCTCTTCCTAGGATATGCCCCTTGGTGGCTGGAGTGTGGAAAGATCAGTTGATGGGGAACCACCTGTAATTTACAAGTTCACACCAAAATATGTCTTGAAAAGTGGATCTTATGTTACAGTAAGTGATTTTCTAACCACCAAGATCTGTGGATGCTAACACATTTTAATGGGAAAAGTATACCCATGCCATATTTCTTACAGAAAATAGATTTAATTTACCAGTAGTTGATGTTCTTATTTAAAAGGTTAAAAAGATCTAAATTGAATTTTTTATTTATTTTTGTTTTTCCTTTTGGATTCAATCTTAATACATCTTGTCTATCTGTCCTAATAAACCAACCATTATAAAATTTAGATGATTTAAGGTGGAAGATGAGTGAAAGGTGAATGGTGCATGGATTCAAATATTAAGAACTCATCTACAGGCATACATGAAGCTACGTGTATCCTCAGTTGGAATTTGGTGGAGGAGGGGAAAACCGAAAAAGTGCAGGGGGAAAATGGGTAATTTTCACTTGGGCCACATTGTCAGGGGGCTTCTCACTGCAATGTGCCATTCATGCTCTCATTGAAACATGGTGATATAATTTTAACCAAGGAATAACTTGTCTATTTTAGATTTGGGCATCGCAAGGTGGTGGCCAGCATAAACCACCTTCAGAACTGCTATTTAGACAGAAAGCCAGCTGGGGTGTTGGTAAAGAAACAAAAACAGTGTTGAAAGATGCAGACAGCCAGGTTTGTCTCTGTGTTTGTCAGTTTGCTGATGAGGATGTAGAAGAGGAAATTTTTGACCTTCAGTTGCTTTCCAGTCAAGTTGGAATTTCTTTTAGATATTTGGACTGCCCTCATTTTCAGTATAATAGAGCCAATTGATTACATAAAAATAAGAACTTAATAATGACAGCTCATTTATGTGGATGTTAGCCAGTGTTACTGAGTTTATACTTCATGCAGTATATATAGAGATATTTTAATGACTTTAGGCACTTTGCTTTAACCAGCTGGTCAGCTAAACCAGTTAAATCAATTGTGAACTAGCAAATTTTTCAAGAGTTCTCTACAATATTTGTTGTCTTTTTTTTGTTTGTTTTGTTTTTTTGTAAGGAAGGCACCATTAGAATAGTGGGTAAACTTTTGGCTGATCAGGTCCAACAATTATGATTAACAAAATATTTTTTTCTGAAAATTGACCAGTTAGTTCCATAAACAAGGTTTTATCTTTGTAAATTTATTGTAAATTTATCTTAGTCTTCAATTGTGTATGGTTCACTGGTACAAAAACAGGAAGAAAATTAAAGCTAAGGAAAATTTTCTCACCCGGAGTCTTTCCTCTTGGAGCAAGGTAAAAGTACTCTTGCCATTTCTGAAGTTGTCAGGCTCTGAGGCGTGATAACATTGGTACAGAAGTTGGTCTGGCATGGCGAGGGGAGAGTGGTGTACTCCTCAAAGGTCGATAAGCACTTATAACAAAGGACTACAAGGAAGAATGGTTATCCTGAGTCAGACATAATTTGTCTCCCCTGGTCTAGATGGGCTTGCCAGGTTGTTGCACCCTACTATCCTTCTTTGACACTTTTCACAATACAGTGCAATGCAGGGGTATTACAAATTTGAGGCTTTGATTGATGGGTCCTTTTTCACCATAACCCTGCTTTTTCATTCGTTGGGTGGACTTTGACCCCTGAATCTTCATACTGCAAAACTTGTTTGGGTACAGTTGATGTATACTCTACATTTTCTTAAAATTTTTTTGTTTTGATCAAAAATATATATATTTTGATGGACCCCAGTTCTGTGATTGATAACTCCATCTTTCTATTGTAGGAAGCAGCTTCGGCAATAAGTGAAGAAGTCAGCATCATCAGGACTGATGAAATTGATAGTCGGCAACCACCCATGGTGTCAGGACGACGTGAGGTGAGTTGAATGTTGCTCTAGTTTCAGGTTAGACTACAATTGGTCCCTCCTTTTAGTGGAGTCCATTGCACCAATACAAAAAAAAAAATAACAGCAAAGATATGGAGGTTAGTTGGTCAGCGTGTGCCCTAACCCCAGAGTTTCATGTAACACCAGACTGAACTAACACTGAGGGTCTTATGTCTTATGGTCTGACCTTGTTTCTGAATATTTCCTAAATGGGGGGGGGGACACCTTTCAAAAATAATTAATTGCTTAAAATACGTGGGAAATAAATCTGAGTCCTGGGAAAGTCCTTGAAATTTGTTTCTGAAAAAGGGTACATACCCTGAAAAGGGCCTGGCCAGATTCCCCTACAAACTGTTTTAAAGCACACAAGTATTTGAGTGTGGATAATGCACTATATAAATACACTTATCATTATTAACATCATTGTCAGTATGACTTATGGATTTCTTTTTTCTGTTTCCTCTTTAGGGTGAAACTAGCAAAGGCTGTGTTATTCAGTAATAGTCTGTTTTTTCAGTCCTAACAACTGATTTTGAGCTTTTTAGTCAGTCCTTCAGTTAGAATAAACATAATAAAAATTAGGTTTATATCTTTGCTGTGTAAAAAAACAACTGGCAGAAGTACTTTTTTATTTGTAAAACCCAAACTGTAAATCAATTTATTTGTACTCCAAATTTTTTACCCAAATTTTGAATACTCCAATTTAATGTTTACATTCTTTTGTCACTCTATATAAGGTCAATTAAGTTTCTGTTATATTTATTTTGGAAGAAATCTTCAGCATACAAGGGCTTCTAAACCTTGCATCATAGCAGCAGCCTAATAATTTTGTTCATTCAACTTAATTTTTAGAACAATGATGTTTGATTTTGAGTGGGGGTTAATAAGAGTGTGGTTTTGATGGATTCCAGTGATTCATTGTATGGGCATATTTCTCAAAAAAAAAAAAGGCTGAAACGATCTGCTCAGAGTTATATCTTATAAGACAAGGTTAACAGGTTAAGTACTGGAAGACAATGTGTGCATGGAATTGTCTCAAAGTTACTAAAAGCAAAACTGGAAAATAATTTTCCCCCACATTTTCAGTGGTCTTCTCTTCCAAAATGTAATGTAAGTTTTGTACTTATCTGGATTGCTAGTAAAACTTAAGAGTTGTTTTTTTTTAAGATGTATTCTGTGAGGTTACATTTTGTATGCAGTAGGTCAACCATGCAGATTTGTCTGCACCATGAATAAAGTGACAACCTGTCATATTTTTGTGTTGATCATTTTCGAATGGGAGAATCCTTACAATTCCCAAACTGGATGTGATGCAGGACAAAAACATATTGGGTGTGCAAGTGCTTTTAAACCGATGTAAAAGTTTAATTGCCACAAGCAGTAATGAATTACCTCACTGTAACCCCTCAGAGAGATCTCCATCTTGCTTCCAAAAGTCCCCTCTGCCCTCATTCCTCCCCCCCACTCCCCCCAAAATACGCCAAATTTTTTTCTGACCCTTCTCAATTCCTGATTTTAAAAAATAAACAAAAAAGTGAAACGTGGCGAGAGCGGGTTTCAAAAAGTCGACCGAGAACTTTTCGTCTCGGAGCCGGCGAAAATTTACAAGCTCCAACGGAAATAAAGACTCGAAAGTTGCGCAAATTGAACCCACGGTCTCGTGACCTGGATTTACAGAGCACCACCTGGGTACCAGTTTGGTAGTATCGTATCCAGTCTTCCACCAAAACAAGGCACGAAGAGAACGCTGGGGAATTTATGTTAAATTCGAAATGGAGGTTCTGTCTTGGGCTGGGGATTGGAATCTTCCCTCTGTAGACGTCCGCTGTTTAGAGGTTTTGGTAGGTAAACTGACTTCTTTCACGCCCCGAGCTGAAGTACCATTTCTCAGTTTCTCCATTTTTGTTGTAGACCTACGCTAAGTTTGCTGAATGCCCGCTTAACGTCAATCGATGTAACAACCCTTGGAAATCTCCCATAGGTAAGGACTCCAGCTTTAAAGTTTGTCGGAACCAGTCTTCGAGCTATAACCATCTATTCCAATGAAATAGTTAGGTGTTGAAATGGATTGAAATGTCTATCTTTTACATTTGCTCGACAGAGAAGTGATTTTATTGACTAATAATGTTTCACAGAGTCAGTTTCTCACATTGGATGTAAATTTCACTTGTTTCGATCTATTAGGAGAATTTCCAGTTTTAAAATCTGGTGAAGATGTTCTGACTACGTCTAGCAAGATCATAAATTACTTGAGGAAAAATGTGGGTACAAATTTGTAGTCTGTTTATGCGTATTTACAAGGAATCAAAGTACTGAATAGCTTTATGTTGCAATTCGTCTCTCAAGAGAATATCAGGGAAAACCTATGTTGAAAAATCATGTTCTTTGCAGAACTTCAACGCTGATTACCAACTGACAGCAAAGCAGGGAGCAGATACTCTTGCATTTGTTTCATTGGTGCATAGCAAACTTTATCCAGCAATTGTAAGTGAAACATGTACTTCCTATAATAAGTAGAAGTTATAAAAAATGTGTGATTCTTATTTCTTAACCATACCAGTCATGATTGTTGCACCAATAACCGTGTGAATGCTTTATAAATGCATACTAAATTGAGGTGGATTGATCACACAAAAGTCTTGTTTGGTCTTGCAGTTATTTACATTGTGGGTGGACAACACAAATTACATTAAATTTACTCGTCCGTGGTATGCACAAAGATTACCTTTTCCACTGAATTATTTTATCCCTGGACATGTCTCAAGACAAACAAGGTGCCAACTGTCAAATGAAATGCACCCTGAAGTGACAGATGATGCAGTGGAAAATAAGGTGAGCCTTAAAACAATAGTCTGATAAATGTATTGGTGAGAATTCAACTTCTGTCATGATGTTGTTGCTGTTTTATTTTTTTGTAACAATTAAAATGTCTTATTAAAAGTAAAAGAGGATAGAGTGTGTCCAAAATAGGGTAGGAAAGAGGAGGGGAGGAAGGGTAATTCATATCTCTATCATTGAAAATAAGTAAATATATGTTGTTATTATTATTATTATTATAATTATTATTCACTTAAATATTTGTACTTTTTCTCAGCTTGTTCTGTTTTCCAAATCCAAAGTGGCCACTCAATTTCTATGTTGAATATTTACTGTGCCCAAAATTTTATCACAATTACCAGTTTTTCATGCAGCTTCAAAGTGGAGATACCATAGCCTGATGGGCAGAGTGCTGCTATTGTGGGGGGGAGGTCTGGGTTTCAGAGCTTGCAGGGTCATAATAAGGTGTTCCTGGACAACACACTTTACTGGCACATTACAATTGCCTCTCTCCAGTCAGGGATACATATTGATGCCACTGAACTTTCAGAACAGCTTGATGAAATGCTTGGGGATAAGTTATGTTGGATTGACATCCTAGCTTGTGGTAGTTACAATGCTCTTAGTCATTTCATGCAACAGAGACTGGGCTTGTATATTTTTTTTATCTCTCACCTAAAGGGCTTCAAACATTTCCTAAACAACAAGCTTCAAATGATGTTTCCTATGTTTCTCAGAGCAGTTTAAATTTTTTGGCTTTGGTTTTGTTTCTCAGCTTTTCAAAGATGCTCTGGAATGTCTAAAACTGTTATCTACAATGCTGGATGGGAAGGAATTTTTCTTTGGAGACAGGTAACTTAAAATGTATTAAATTTGTAGTTCTTCTTTCTACATGGTATACATTTCCTTGAAAATTGAGAAGGGGTATTTGGCTTATTCCGCTTCTGGTGATAAAAGTGTTAACGTTAAAAATCTTTTCTTCCTTACAGTCCAACCACACTTGATGCTGTGGTATTTGCTCATCTTGCAGTGATCTGGAAAGCCCCACTGCCAAATAAAAAACTGTGTAACTATTTGCAAGGATATGATAACTTGTGTACGTTCTGTGGACGAATATTACAACGCTACTTCCCCGCAGAAATGAATGGTAAGAGGAAAGTGTTTTTCGGTTTCGGGTGGCAAAATTTAACGCTGAATGGAAATCACAGATTTAAAAAATAAGATTGGACGTAATATTTCCAATTTGGATAAACAATACGGTATCTTTCCTTGGAAGCTTGAAGTAGGGAGTTCTTTGAACTGCTGCCAGTCTGATGAGAATGATTCAGCAAAGCGGTAGTTAGCGGTATAAAGATAAAGTGAACTTTAGCGGACCCAACGAATTCAAACTTTGGTTTTATCAAGCGATCGCGCATAGGAAGTTTTGCAAAGGAAGCTATTTCCTTATATGAGAACTAGAGGCGAGAAAACAAAATGTTACAACGTCATTCTTATTTGGAATTACAAGAAGATACAGTGTGTCACTTTATTCCAATACTCAGGCTGGTAAATCTTAAGATAACATATTCCCTCTAATGAGCACCTGGAAACTTATTTGCTGTTTTTCTTTTTAACAACCAGAACAGCAACAACCGTCTTCTTCACCGTCCGGTCAGGAAGACTCGGACCTATCTGAACGGCGCAACAAATGGTTGGCCATTGGTTTCGCTACACTGGCCATGACACTCTACGCTTTGTCCACTGGTCTGATTAGAGTAGAAATCAAAAGAGAGGGAGATTTGGAGGAATCAAACACAGAACAAGAAAGCAGTGAATGATCCACTGCAGTGTGAACTGATGAAAACTCGGATTGTTAGTTAGGGTGCGTTAGTGAAAAAGAAGACAAGGAAAGGGGAATTAGGAAGGATGGCTGGTTATAATTTAAAGATAAATTTAAACTTATTCTTGAGAACGAAAGAAAGTGGTCTCACTTACCTAAACACCCCTCTTAGCAACGCCCCAAACGGTGTGAATTTCCATTGCTTTGCTAAAATCTTTAGTTATTTCGCTCCATCAAAGGTCAAGCTTCGTTGTTTTGTTGAAGACAAGTAATTGGCCAGTGATAGCTCAGAATTCCTTCAATCTTCGATAAACTGAAACGTAAGTAACCACATAACTTGCAAATTATATACGTTTCCTGGAACACAAAGTACGATGAGCTGTTTCACCCCCATTTTCCTATTATTTTGAGCTGAGGGCAACGGTTCCATTTTGATTATTCATAACTTCATGTTAAGTAAATGCAAACATTGTCTTGTCTGCTATTTTGTCTAAACACAAATGAATAAAGGCTGATAGTTTCGAAAGAAACTGTTTGGGGCTGCGTCGGTGGGAGTAACGAAATAATTTGGATATATCAACAAAGTTGAAATGGTAAATTGGCCACCGTAATGATTACAAAAGCTGACGTTTCGAGCGTTAGCCCTTCGTCGGAGCGAATAGAGGAATTGTGGGTTGTGTGTGCTTTTAAAGGCAGAAAATGGAGCTACGTTATTGGTGGGTGCATGGCAACGAGAAAAACATGAATAAATTAGTGGAATGAAAAGCGTTCATTGATCCCTGTGGGATTTAGACTGCCGGTTTGAAAGATGAGCTTTTGTTCAAGATTTTTACGGCTTTCCGTGCCACCTAAGTGCAAGGAAAGACCGCAGATTGCCATATGTTGCTTAGAATGATTGNGAAGACAATTTTATTTGGCAGCAGGTGCAGGTATTTTTTGAAAATGTGTTCCTGTAAACTGCGACTCAAAAAAACACTGATGGAGGCTTTGATGTAGCAAGGTTTTTCGCTTTTTGGTGAAAAGCTTTTTATTTAGACCCAAAAGTTAAAATATTATGATAGCAACGAAACACAGTGTTCCGGTAACGCACAAGCCCGTATGTCTGTACAAAGCGTTTCCTTCGGCTTCTATCTGATCTCCAGCGCGTCCATAATTTTTCGATCATATCTAATGTTACATAAGAAACACAAAACTAAATACATCCTCGTAAAAGGAACATATTTTCTCACGAAGTTACTTCATGATGTTCCAACTTTTGCAACGGTATGAAATGGTATCTGAGGAAGCATATAAAGATGAATTAATTGTAATTAACTGGCTATCAAAGTAAATCAAAACCACGATATAGCAACAAAATGTTGACGAGAGTCGCCGCTCTCAGTTCACTTTTGTTGGACCAAAGAATATCGTCCGTTTTACCCGGACCCTTCTTTAGTTACGAAATGGGATCGTTTTGTCGTAAAGTTATTCTGACATTCTGTTCGCAAATGACGTTGCGTACGTCACTATTCAGTCAACAAACAGGGAACGAATTCGTTAGATGAACTTGAAAATGTAGCTGTGACACAACATGGCGTCAACTTATTATCGAGCCCGAGTCAACTTGAAATCAGTTTCGATACTGACACCACATGATAATTTGGTGTCGAGGTAAACTGTACTTGAACAGTTGGTTTTCACAATAATTTTGGAGTTTCCTGATTTTAAGTGGTTATTTTTAGTAAAGAGTGTTATGAAAACGAATTAAGGTTCGATGAAAAATATTTGATAAACGGCTTGGCCTTCATATCACGTCTTATGCATTAAAAACATCTCGTCGGCACTGGCCACTGAGAGAGCCGAGGGGCCTGTCAAAATATTCGATAAGAATCTCCCGGTATTTACTTTCTCTCTGTGGGCTGTAAAAGTCTATTCTTAAGTCTTAGCGGTAGTTCAACTGTCCCCGGCGAACCTGACTCTAGAACTAATTCAGCGTCACCTGCTGGTTGAGTTGTTGGAAATCGGATCTCTTACCTGTTTTAGATTATCGTTTGTGCAGTAAACAAATTTAAAACATTGGCACTTTCGTCTTAAAAAGAAAACTCTGAACGTCCATAAGTCGCAGTGAGAAACTCGCCCGGAAAATAACAGTGGAGTATTCTTTCTCCGGAAAAAGCAGTCTGTGAAGAGACACATCGGATTTTGTTGGAAAATAACAGGGGGGGATTACTGTCCGCCGCAGGTATGTCGAATAAGACACAAGCTGAGTTGACGAGCTCCATCGAACAAAACGTTACCTTGGGTTTCTATATCGCCATCATTATAATTGGCTTAGTCGGTAATAGTTTGGTGATCGCTGTCATTTCTGGCAAGAAGAGCAAAAGGTCCATCTATGATCTGTTTATTTTGAACCTTGGCATGGCCGACTTGTCGTTTATCTTCTTTTACATGCCAGTCCTCATTTACCAGGAGTATATCAACAGCATCTACAAAACTGTGTATTACTGTCGACTTGTTCAGCCTTTGTTGACAATCTTTTATTTTCTAAGCATCTTCACCATCTCTTCCATGGCAATCCATCGCTGTAAGGTGATTACAAATCCGCACAAACCCAAAATGAAGAAGCGAACTGGTTACCTGTGGATCGCTGCTGTCTGGCTGTCTTCATTCATTATTGTGCTACCACTGTCCATTGTGAAAAACTCGGAAAACGAGAAATGTGACGAGAAATGGCCATCACTGGATCATCGTAAAGCCTACACATTGGCTCTTTTCATTCTTCAGTTCGTTATCCCGCTTCAGATAATCGCGGCAGCTTACCTTAAAATCGGTATCTACTTGTGGCGCTCAGCTGCTCCGCAAAGCTCCCTTTCCTCTGTTAAGAGCAAGCGGGTTCAGAGGAGAAAGAAGGAGAACATACAAGTTATCAAAACACTGGCATTGATCGTGATTCTGTTCACCGTCTGTTTACTGCCGGGTCAAATTGGTTATCTGCTGTGGGAATTTGGAGATGAAGAAGACCAGG